GTGTTGTAGTTAGGAGATGGTGGGGGGGGGGGGGGGGGGGGGGGGGGGGGGGGGGGGGGGGCGGGGGGGGGGCTGTCCCCCATTGGAAATCGAAAAATTTTCTCTGGTCTCACCTGTTGGACTCCGATCTTTAATATATATTATCAAAGAATTGATGTCGTGATCCAATTTTTCAGAAATAGAAGACTATATTAATCTAATAGTCTATAGAACTCAAAATAATTTTTTTTATGTATTGAAATCGCACATACTTGTGCTTCTAGTTTTATAGAATTCATAAAATTGTAAATACATCTTTTTAAGTAGTTAATTGACAAGTGCATATTAAGGATAATGTTTCACGAAAAAAGAAATCGAGCGTTTGCAATTTGTAATGTAAAACCATTCAATCATTCTTCATAAATAATAAATTATAACCATTCATTCTTTATAAAAATATTTATTACTGCGCTAAATTTCTAAAAAAAAAAAATCACAAGAATATTATAAGATGGTAGAATTTTTTAAAATTTATTAAATACACGTTTCCATTTTTCTTTTAGAATCCCCACCCTCCACAGGTTGATTACGTAAAGGTAAAGAATTCATCGGCATCAATCCCAACGGTTCTCACATCATCCTGATGAACAACATCATACATGTTGCTAAAATATGAAGGAACTGTCATGTCACTATAAAACATCGTTTGATCTATTATTTTCTTTATACCATCATAATCATACTGTGATGGGACTAAATAATTTTGGTTCTGTCGTTCTAATGATAATTGTCGCATTTGATTCTCATCATAATTCAACGAATGCGGGTACGAGTTAACGGTATCCATATTCATGTTTGCGTAGGATTCGTTAGGTATATGATCGAAATCCGTTCGAGAACCTTTATCGTTGGGAAGAATTGGAACAACTTGTTCCAGTTCGTATGATGAAGATGAAGTGGATTGCTGGTGGGACATAATTAATTGTTGTTCCATAAATTGTAATTCTGTGGTACGTTGAATAGTATCATTTTGTTCTTTAGAGCCAGCTGAAGACTGTATTTTAGAATCTTTGTACATCGCATATGAGTCGTTTGGAAGTGAGGAAAAATTTTCCGTACATGTTTCTGCAGTAGTTCTACGTTGTATTAGTTGAGGTGACAAAAATTGAATGTCAGACATAGTAGAGCACATTGCAAAAATTGAAATATTTTAATTAAGAAATTGGTCAAAAGATTTGAAGATTTTTTTGATGGTCAAAAAAAAAAAAAAAAAAAAAATAATAAATAAAGAAAAGGAAGTAAAATAATAAAAGAAAAAAAAATTCATGGTTAATTATAAGTATTCGAGCATAATACTTATTTAACTACACTTGATCCTCTTTACAAAAAAGTATCGTATTGAATATTATTCCCAAACATTCAATTTATTGAATTGTCCAATGATGTACATTTCTGTAAAACAATACAAAGGGTTGAACAATTGCCATTGAAAGAAAGGACTTGTTTTTTCTTCCAAATTTTGGAACGTTTCCAACATCTCTTTCTGAAACTTATTTTGAAGTAGATATTTCATTTCTGAATTAATAAAGGTAAAACAAATAGTTAAATAAAAAAGAACAGGATGGGGTCTTTTTTTTTTTTGAACTGCTAATTGTAAATATAGTTAAGTTTTATAAAGTTTGGATAACGTCGCTGTTTAATAAAATTGCTGCTCCACATCATGTTTAATTAAATATTTATCTGCTTGGTTTATTTTTTGATTTATTAATTATCGTTAAATCGTTAAATTGTTAAAATTCATCGTATCCATTTCTAGTTACCCTTTGATCACTAAAATAAAGTATTTAAAGGTGCTAATACCATTTTTAAGATGTTAGATGTTTTTTCCTATAATAAATTAATCCAGGAATCACAACCTAATATAAACCATAATCATTGAGCTTTTATCGCAACTACTTGCATAACGAAACGCTTCGAACCGATCTGATATCAACCAAAAGATGTACGTTCAGATTTTAATCGGTCCAATAGATCTGATCCTGCAGACATTTTTACCACAAAAACTCGTTTTACTGGAACACTTGTTGCTTTATAAAAAAATGTATTAGTTAATGTTTAATAATCGATGTTTTTTTTTTTTTACCT